CATCATGTGTGGAGTGTTTCAACCCTAAGCCCCCCCCCCAAATACATACATTTCATGTCCCTTCCCCTTGGCTGCCCTTATTGCTACCTTCCATGTCAGCCTAGGTCAGGCCACTACTAACCGCCCACAGTATTTAGCTCTTCTCTCCATAGCCCCAAAATGGGGGTTAAATGAGGCAACGGGCTTTGTGATGGCCCTCCTACACCATAGTAATTTCTGGCTGTAAAAGTACATTGAATCCTCCAATAGGAAATGGCCACATTACATGGGAGGCAATACTGTACTTCTGGAATACAATCTGAAACTGGCTAACCTTAACAAAAGCAAATTATTTTTTTTTTTATTGTTAATAGCTACACTCTGCATTGTTCATGATTTGGAAAAATGTGACCTTTCTGTGGAATAGTGGTATAGGAAAATACAGACTGTCCTTGCAGCGGAAAAGCTTCCGCACCATGTACGTGCACAGGAGAACAGCCAAAAAGAGGACAGGCATTTAGAAATTTGGTCATATTGTCTAGAAGAGGAGTGTTGTCCAGTTGGCAAGCCAGAATATTTAACCAAGTTTTTTGAATACGAACCTAATCCTGAACAGTTAATATATGATATAGTGTGGTAATGTTTTATTATAACTTTGCCTTACTAAAAAGTTTGAAAAAAAATGAAAAAGGGAGAATAAGATTATAATTCAGTGAAACCTTTTCCAGAAAATAGCTATAGATGAGCCACAGTCCTAATAACCAGCTTGACTTTGAAGAGCCAGGAAAGGCTCTACTAAATTGGCAGTCATGGAAGTGCACTAGTGAGCTATCAGAAGACAAGATACTACAACAGGAGCAGTATGGTCATGTTAGGGCAGTAGCAGAAGTGTGTGCCTACAGCTCATGGGAAACCCCTGCCAATGAGAGAGGGTATGATTGACTGCTAGGGTACGTGTTGGCCGAAGCAGTAAAAACGGATTTAAATAATAATTACCTATCACAGTTCAGAAAGGTAATTCCTCCCCATTAAAGCCTGTCACAGCGGGGCTTTGTCTTGGAATTAGGGAGCATTGGGCTGGAATTCACATTCCATCCCAGGGCTGATCCATGGGACTGCAGCATAGTTCCTTCTTGACTTTCAAGCTATCCATGGGGCTTGGATAACTGCCCCATCATTCCATGGGTTTGTGACACTTGAGGCCAGATGGTATCTGGCCTTTGACTGGCTGCACAAGGCAGATTGGGGCGGTGAATGGTCGGGCAACGTTCAGTCCCTGCTTGCTTCTGGGACCTGCTTGGGGCATCATCGCTCCTTAAAAGGCCAGACAGAAGTGCTGGGATCCTGCCCAGCTCATTTATCAGGATACCGTATGCTCTGTCCTCCAGGGTAATAGGCAACACTGTGAACCATGGGTCTCTTCCTGAGGAAGTGCAGCTCTTTGAGCAAACCCTCAAAGTGTATCTGACCCTTCCCCCTAGCATCCTATCCATGCCAATCTATTCAATGCAGTGTCCCGGCTGCCCTGATGTTCTGCTCATGAGTCCTCTGTTACAGCACTACCCTGGCCCTCCACTCTGGGGTGCCTGTCACTAGAAATGAGCAGGATCAATTTCTTCACTATGCCCCCAGATGATGTTCATAAAGATGCAAGTAAGAGTTTTTTAAATGAATAATATGGGGACACATCCACATGCTGAATCGTGTCCTTTCCCAGCATAATCCATCACAAATTATTACCCTTCGGTAAGTGGAAGAGAAAGCCGGGTAAACCCTCTCACCTCAGCTGCCATGCAACACCTGAGAAATTTCCCTTTATACGAACAGATTTTGTTTTAGGCCCTGCTTCCATTAGTAACAGTGGCTATGATTATTGTAAAATGAGGCTAGTTCTAAAAGGCATTTGTTGTTCTTTGCCCTGTGCAACAAGCGTTTGTTTTAATCAAGCAGCATTGGAGAAACAAAAATAATGTGTCGGTATACTGACCTTCACATTGCACCATATCAGTGCGGTGCAGTTTTCTTTCTTCTTTCATCATGATGGAGTAACGTGGCAATACATTTGCATATGGGCGCATGCATCTGTGCTGTTCAGCACCTCTTCTCATCCCAGTTAAAATCAGACACAAGTGAATGTGCTGTGCTTTCATTTGCATTCACAGAGGCACATTCAGACTAGTCATCTAATGGGTTTTTATATTCTTGAGGGAGAAACTGTGCAGCTGATGACACTATGCCCTGTGTCACAGAGGCATGATTACTGTAGTTCTTCATAATTAGATTGATTCCTTAAGCCGAGATGGAGATCACAAGATCCAGCCTCAGCTCTCTTATTTAGTGTGAGAGACATAGTCTGGCTAGAGAATAGACTAGTGTTCTGAAAACAGGAACTGCATTTGCCATTCTGAGCTTCAGCTTGTTTTGTTCAGAAAATGTGTTGCACTGAGAGTGACAATCACCTCAGGAAAGCAGGCCTGCATTAGGCCAAGGCCTTCTGCTCCACTTAAGCCCTCCAGTGGGTCCAGTATGAGAGTTTAAGATGACACTGATACTCTTGCCTTCGATTTTAATGGAACCAGGGTATGACCCTTAATGCAGGGCTTAATTGGGGCCTTCTGCAGTAAGGAGATGTTCACCCAGGAAAAATGAAATGAGAGAGACCAGTTGCAATATTTGCCACAGTAATGATGAGATGTCTGGGAGGGAAGAGAAGGGTTTTGTTCATTACTGATGACTAGAGCTGGGTGAATGATTTTTTTTTTAGTTCTTTGGTAGTTTGAAATCAAGGGGGAAGAAAGGAGTTTCAGGTTTAACTAAAATGGAAAATTCCAAGCAGATAATTGCAAATTGAAACAATCCATTTTGGATGATTTGAAACAGGTCATTTCACTTGGAATGTTTCACTAGTTTGTGTGCCCTAACCACTTCACTCTAGAGACCAATGACTGGTCAGGTATGTTATACAAAGAGGAGCGGTTTCAACAGGATCGACTGAGAGAACACTATCCCAAACTAGCATATAAACCTGATGGTTAGGACACACAACTAGGTAACACTTAGGTTCAAATTCATGCTCTAGAGTAGGGATTTGAAGTCAGTAGTCTTCCATATCCCTTCTGAGAGCTTAACCACAGGGCTAAAAATGAGATGATAGCCACCCTCCTTTCTTCCCTGCCTTCTATTGTGAATGTAGCCAGATTTTTTATTTTCAGACTGAAACTATTTGGCACATTCCTGTCAAGTTCACAAATAGTTTTGCATCAACCAAAACTGCCTTTTGTGACAAATAAGCTGTCTGCAAAATGTTGATCAGCGTTGATAGTGACATCATTTCGAACAAAGGTTTACTATTAAAGTTTTGGGGTTTTATTTGCTTTTTTAAACACAGGCATTCCAGTTGTCTGGCTAGCTAGCATTGACCCTAAGATCTAGGCATGCCTATGTCTCCAGTCCGCTAACATGGACACTGCAGTCTACAGCATGTTCTGCCTATGAGGCCACAGTTGCTACTTTTTCAGGTGGTAAAATGTACCTGTCAATAAATCCATCATTGCCTATTCTATTTTAATCTGCACTGCCAGGATGGCTCTTCTATCATATAAGTGGCTATTACCAGTCCATGTGTCACTTTTTTTGTATGCCTCTATCAGATGAGAGCTGGTTTTTACTCTGATAGTTTTTTATATTTCTTTTCTATTAAAAAATAGCCCATTAAACATATTTTAATACCTAGGGTTGTGTGACGTGAAATTTCCCACAACTTTATTGAGATGTTTTTTGACCTTCCCTTTAGAAGTATCACGTTAGTGAGGAAAACATGGAATGTTAGAAAAGTTGATATGTTTTTTCAGGGAAAATAATTGCCCTATGAACAAATGTAAATACAAGAATTTAGCAAAATATGACCAGATTTGAATATCTATAAAATAAGACAAGGCAAATTTAGGATTTCAGATTTTATTTCAGATACTTGGGTTCCTCTAACAAAGTCAAAAATGTTTCTTTTTGACTTAGATATACCTTCCTCCTCCACTTTTTTTTAACTGTCTAGCCCCAGGGATAGCTCAGAGCCTACATAACCAGCAGAAATTTATGCACTTTGTGATTTGCTCTACAACTGCCTTCTGATTTGTTTGTTCAATCCTTCTGCCACTCTCCCCTTAAAAATAGTTAATTGGAAGTAAATGTAAAGATAATCTAGCATGTATAGCCCTCCATTTGTCAACCTCTGAACACTGGAAATAAAATATTATTGTTCTGTTTACTTTTTCAACACATCACATCATATTATTTCAATTCCAAATAAGGCTTTGGAACACTATTTAAGAAAGGAGTCTTCCACAACAGCAAAAGGATTGAAATCTGGTCAGATATGAGAACCTGAGCAGAAATCTCAAAGGAGTGTAAATGAATCAGTAAGTACCTTATTAGAAGTAATGGCCTTTGTGTGAGTTGAGATGGGGGCATTTCAGGAATTATTAAGGCAGGGACTCTATAGCACAACAGAAAGGGAATAGCAGGGTAGGCAGCATAGCAAAATTCACATGTAGATTGTGTTCCCTAAGGCAGTGGCTCTCAATCTTCGCAGACTACTGTTCCCCTTTCAGGAATCTGATTTGTCTTGTGTACCCTCCAACTTTTACCTCACTTAAAAATTACTTGCTTACAAAACCAGACAGAGATATCCAAAAGTGTCACCGCACACTGTTACTAAAAAATTGCTTACTTTCTCATAATTGCCATTATAACATAAATTGGCATGCTAATACTGCACATTTAAGTGTATAGTTTATAGAGCAGTACACACAAGTCACTGTGTGAAATTTCAGTTGGTACTGTCTTTGCTAGTGCATTTTATGTAGCTTGTTGTAAAACTAGGCAAATATCAAGATGAGTTGATGTACTTCCGTAAATCACCTGTATATCCCCAGGTTGAGAACCGCTGCCCTAAAGTGGAGCTATAGATGTGAACTTGAAGGTAAGAGATGGTGAACTAACTTGTCCCTTTTCCTCTTCTCAAGGCTTACAACATTATGAAAGTAACACATGGAGCAGATCACAGCCTGGTACAAGAGCTGATGAAACTTAAGGACCAGTGTGAAGCTGCCATACAAGGACAGTGAGAATGATCTCAGGCTGGAAAACTAACATTTGGGGGAAAAGGAAAGCAAGTTTTTTAATTGACATCTATGCCCTGAACCAAAGTTCTCTGAATTCACTGGAGTGACTCCCATTGAGTTTGGTAGGGTTTGGATCTGGCCCTGTTTCCTTTGCTAAAATGTTTAATGTTTATTAGCTTTGCTGCTCTGTGCGGTAATTTTCCTCACTGAATTCAAATGTGGAAGGATATAGGCCATTTTGAGGAGTCTACTTTCTGGGGAGCAACTTAATAGCAAACAAGTCTTAGCAATTAATGTAACATGTTGGCAATAAAACATACCTTTATACCGACTGCTGCTGTGCAAAAATCAGCATCTCCTTTGGCTGTTTATGAGGTGTTTAAATGACCCTTCTCTGATTTTATTTTTTAATAAATGGGCTTGAATCAAAATCCCAGGTTCAAATGTCTCTGGACATAGGAAGAGTTTGAAAACCAAAGTGAGATCCAGCCCGTATTTGTCTCACCATCCTGTTGGTTTCCTTCTCTCACTGTCTGTTGAATGCCTCTTTCTAGGCTGCTCGTTATGTGGAGGGTTGCTAGCTTTCATGACCGGATGCCATTTGCGACAAGAGTGGCTGATCCATCCGGTCGGGAAAGTTCACAACCCTAGTGGAGAATGATCTCTGAATCCCCTCTTGTGAAATCACCACTATCTTCCCTGCTTATTCAGATCCCTGGTTTTTTCTGCAATACCCACAAAGTGTGAGTTCATAATAAAAGAGTAAATATATAATTACACATCCACCTCTGTTGTAAATCTTAGTACCATTTTAGTCAGTGGACAATTGACTGTGCAGGTTTACATCAGCTGAGGATCTGGCCCCAGACACAGAATCAATAGATACGTAGAAAACATAAATTATGCCTTCTCTTGATTTCCCAGCATATCCTGTCTCTGAAGGCCTGACTCCAAGCACGTGGAAGTCAATGGAAAGAAACGTGAGGTGCTGGATGAGTTTACCCTCTAAACTGCAAGCTCTTCAAGGCAGTAACTCTCTTTAGCATGTGTCCTGAATGGGGCTCAGCACATTTATAGCATTTCCAATAATAGAACAATATCTATACTTTATAAATGTCTCCTCTCTTTATAATGAACTAAACTGAGGCATTGGATCAGAACATGACTGAATTTAAGAGTGTTTGAAATTCTGGTCTGAATTTTGCCCCCATATATTTTTTCTTTAAGGGACATTGTAATGAGGCATCTTCCCCCCACTGGTTTTTAAGGGCCCTTTGCAAGAGGCAGCCAATCAGAGAGGGGTTGTGGGAGCAAGGCTGGATTGGCCCATATAAAAATGGCTGCAGAGCAGAACAGCTTGAGTCGCTCCCTGGAGCTTGAGGAAGGAGGACTGGCTGCCGTTCAGGCATAGGGCAGCAAACACTGTGGACAGAGCAGTGCTGCAGGCAGGGACCCAATGAGTTAAAGGCAGTTTCTGGTGAGGTGCAGAGATCTGCAGGCCCTGAAGCAAAGGCAAAGAGGGTGCTAGGGCCATGGGAAAGTGGCCCAGGGAGAGTTGAAGGGGATGCAGCAAGTGGTTGCCATTTATAGGGTTCCAGGCACCTGGAGTTCCTTCCTTCTTTCCTCCACTGAAGAAGTGGCTGCCCTGAGGAACTGTGATGCTGTCTCCTGAAATGGGGGAACATGGAGTGTGGTGTGGCCTCTGGATCAAAAAGTTAGTGTATGCAGGGGCAACAGTGTAGGACTGTGCCATGAAGAGGATGTTCCTAGGACTGACCTCAGTCCATGAGCAGAAGAAGGGTCGGTGGAAAGATATCACCAGAAGAGGGTGGACTGGCAAACAGAGCTAAACCCCAGGACAGCCAACATGAAGTGCCACAGTGGTGAGTCCACTCTATCACAATTGTCATTATGATTATGGGGTTCCTCAGTTCCAACTGCTTTAAAAACTATCTCATGGATATATCCAGACCAGTGATCCTTTTGCCTTCTGCTCTAGAGCCAAATAAAACTGGTCAGGACTGAGCACAAAACTTCCTCAATATCTGTAGTCGGGGATGTATGCTTGATTATAGACCAAGGCAGAGCAGAACTGTGGATTATCAATTTGCTGGCAGGCTGATTTATATATTGGCCAGACAAAATGAGGAGCACTGATCAAACTCACTGACAGTGTGGGAGGGGAAGGAAGAAAAGGGCCAGTGTGATCCCACTTCTAGCAGCAGCAAGGAGGAAGGCAGGTAAGGGAAAGAAAGGCCCTTCCCCTTGCAACAGCCAGTAGTGGAGGGGATTGGGGGCATCAGGAAAACAGAGGGGACCTCTCTCTGCCAGTAGAGTGCAAAGCAAAGGAAAACCTTTTGTTCCTTTCAGTGCAGGAGAGAGGGAGATGGAAAAGAACTGAGGAGCTGATCTTCCCCGTGCCTTACAAATTTACTGTAACCCCACATTCTCCTAGATTGGACACACCTAATCTGAGCTGAGCATGACCCTGCCAAAATAAACCCCCAAAAAACAAACAAAAAACCCACTTCTCTCTGACTGTCTATCCAGGGTTCTAGCACCAGACATCAGATTGGTCCAACAGAAGAGTCCTGCATTCTCACACAGGGTCTCCAGTTCTGATTACAAGACACTTTGTCATGTCATCACAGTGTTTTGATCTTGTGGCTTACAAAGTCACTCTGTGATGAAGTGGCTTTTATTCAAGGTTGAGCTTCCTGGCTTTAGACCATATTATCCAGTTCAGACATCGTCTGAAGTCAATGCATTTCACTCTGGAAAAACTTCACCCACGATCTCCATTTCTCTCACCAGTTGTATGTTCTTGTCAGTGGGTGGGGTTAAAAACAGGTACAACTTCCTGGTTTTCCATGAAGTTGACCCTGCATACACTAAGCCTGAATTTGAACTTTTTGATTCAGAGGCCAATAAGTTTCAGCTCATGTTTCTGTTAGATATATTAGCACCTTGCGTGTTAACTGTTAACAATGTGTTTAATTTCTAGAATAAACTGAGAAGTCTTAACATCAAGGTAATTTAAATACAACCAGCATGTACATAATAGCTCTCTCCTTTTTTCTTTCAGATCAAGGGTAAGCATTTTCAAACGCACCTAAGATTTGCACTTAGCCCATGTTCCATTGTCTTTCAGTGATATTCAGGCTTCTAAATGCCCATATCACTTGTGAAAATGAGACTTAGAAGCCCAAGTCATTTAGGTGCTGTGGAAAATATTACCTTAGGTCTAATGTTATGGGCCAAAGTATGTCCTGTGCAAAGATCCTTTCAGCATGCTAAACTGTTTCTCAGTCTGATTCACAAGTTGTCCTTGCCAAGGTGTAAATTAGAACAGGCAGGGGCTACTTTTAATGGGCAAGAGCTAGTTACGGTCCCTGAAGGAGCATACGCAAGCTGTAAACTGGCAGAATGGAGTTGTATTATGCCCTGCCTTGGCACATCATTTCCTTCCCCACAACACCTCCTAGACTGGGGGTTGGCAACACTACCAGCTTTGTACCAGCTGAGAATTCGTAGTCTGGCAGATATAGAACCTCTTTGTATATTTTAGGCAGGACAAAGGGACCAGAGAATTTGGCCCTGTACATTTTAGTCGTCCTACAAATCTATTAATGAATTGTTAGCATACTTCAGTACACTTATTTCACGTTTCTTTAAGCAGCAATTACACTCCTTCCCTCTATGTATCCAAAATTATCGGTTGGTAGGGTTGCATGTCAGTGTGCTGAGAGTCATTTAGGACATAAAGATGGTGCTGAATTAAGAAATCATTTTGCATAGTCCTCGCTGTGGGGAGAAGAGCATTTATTGGAAAGAGCTTTTTCCCCAAGCCCGTTAAGGAGTGAACTGTTATTGCCAGGGCTGCCGACATTAATTTTTAATCCAGAAACATGTTAGCAAAGGTAAATATGTGTGAGGTGTATTTAAGCTGAAATAATTTACAACTTCGAAAACATCACGGAAGGTGTGGCTTTCCTTGCTAATGATTTGTTGTGGCTACTGTAGATATGACTGTCATTTAATTCATCTATAGTCATTGTAAAGTCAGATTTTTCACACCAGTAACTTGACACCATTAATTACTATGAGACGAGAACACATTTAAAGTGAAAAGAAACACTCTGGGCATAATTTATAGCCATGGCACATGACTGCCAACGTCGGGAAAGAGCGCCTGTCAAGATGTTTGAATTTGTTCCAGAGTGTGAAGCATTCACTTGCCCGGCAGTAATATTCAAAATGTGCAGCATTTCTGGAGTGCATAGCAGGACACGAGGCCACAGGCCAAGTTGCTTCAACCTCCCAAGAAGTGCAGTAATCCCCACAGAAATGCATAGCTTCATAGCGTTTTATTACTATTATGAACAGGAAATTATATGGGGGAAGGGTCAGATGCAGGTAGTTACAGGGATTGGAAACGGAGAAATGGCAGCACTGAGAGCCAATGAGAATAGTCCGGATCAGTGTTCCCTCTTAAGTTTTTCCATCCATGAGCGGAGTGAGTTCTGTCTTGTGTGCCAACAATGAGGTGTCATGCGCTTATTTGGATGTGAGCCACTGTGGCACCCACCAGTGGCGCCGCTCCCCAAGAGAGTCTCCCAGATAGCACCCCCCACACCTCTTGGGGAGAAGGTAAGATGTCCTTCCCGCCCCCTCCTCTGGCCCCGGGGAGCGCAACTCCCTAGGCAACGTGTGCAGGAACAGGGACTGCCCCAGGCTGCTCCTCATGGGGGTGCTGTGAGTACCTACCTGGGGCAGAGGAAAGCTGCTGCCAGCGCCCAGGGTTTGCAAGGAGTGAGGTGCTGGGGGTGGGGCAGTGACATGTGGGGAGCGGGGGGACATAGGGTTTGGGAGAAGGGGGCTCTGAGGGGCAAAAGAGAGGTGCAGGAGGGCGGAAGAAAGATGCAGGGGGCCCCATTGGGAAGCCACTTTGCAGACTTCAGCAGAGCTCCAGCCCTGGAGAAGGGCTAGGGCTGGCCCTGGCCAGTGGAGCAGCCCCCCCGCCACATGGCCCCCACCCCCCCCCC